AGGTACCTCATTAGAAAGTTTATGATCTGAAATTAAAAAAATTAAAAGAAAAATAATTGCTATTCAGTATACTATAAAGATATCGTACGTGATATCACTCTATAAGAAACTTGGTTCATTTCTGATATATTCATCGATATGATCGACTCAGATGTACCTAACAATTTAAAATAAATATTTTTTAATATTTTGTATGTATACGTATTTCTTATAAAAAATGTTTATAATTTTACTATATTACTCTAACATTTTTCTACCGTATAAGAATTCGGATAATAGCGTTGATCTAACACACTTGTTACATTTAAATTATTAGAAGATATTTGAGGTGTTAGTTGAGTTTGTATGGACGGAGTTTTACAAAACAGTGACTCCATTCTATTAAATAATGTTATCATTTCACAGTATTAATTTATGCCAGTTGGAGTTTTAAGAAAAAAAACAAATGTATACGTACTTGTAAGAATATTTGTTTTCATACTCATCTTCTTTGCTGATTTTATAGTGATCTGAAATACTTTCTTCATTGCTGATTTCATAATGGTCTGAGATATTTTCTTCTTTCAATTTTTCAGCTATATATTTTGACTTGGATATGGTTCTATTTTTTGATTTTTCTCTGTCAATGTTATTAGTATTATCAAACAGTACTTTTTGTTTTGCTAATTTCATTTTTTTAGTAGATTCTTTATGAATTTGTTGGTCTAATGATATACTAGCTGAAAAATATTCAAATTCTTGTAAGAAAGAATTTTTGACATTTGGATTTTTAAATTGATCATTTAATTTCTTTATCGGTACCACATTTTCCTCGAGAAACAGCTCGTCCATCTGTTCCAAATGGTTCTCTGATAAATATGTTTTAAATGACAGTTTCGAATTATTTATTGATTTATTTTCATTTAATTCTCTTATTAATCTAAAGTCTTCATTAGAATCATCTAAAAATTCCATTTCTTGTCTGATATCTCCCTCTGCATCATTAACTTGTGAAGAATTTATGATTGAATTTTCAGTTAATGGGTTTATATTATCTGATATAGTTTTATTAGCTAAATATACATCATACCTGGAATGGTCTTTATTTATCCAAATGGGTGAAGTCAACATATTTATTATATGATTATATCTGTGATCAAAATTTTTAGCCGACAAAGAACCCTTAGATATTGTTTTATTTGACTTCAATAATGTTAGTTGACAAATCATATTACCAATTTCAGTATCTTTGGCAACATTTATAATGGAGTTTTTTAAATATTTTGGACCATTTGGGGTAGAAAAATCTTTTGAAATATTTTTCCCGAAATCTTTTATATTTGGAACTAAAAATTGTCTATGGTTATTTTCTGTTTGATACTTAAAATTTTGAAGCTCTATTACCTGGTTATTGAGAAAAAGCATTCTAGTTTCGTGGGTTTTATAAATAAAATTTTGATGTATAAGTGGGAAGTCTTTGATATCAATAAGTTTTTTAATTTTTTCTTGTTTTGTACATACGTGTCTATTTTTGGAAGATTTCGTGTTTAACATTTTAGGTAATATCTTATTACTCTATTAAATAGAATTACAACAAATATTTGTATATATTTTAAATATACTTTGTTGCTATAGTAATATAATATATTGAATGTAATATATATCTTTAATTTTTTATAAAATTGTAATATTTTGAATACGGACTTAGACATACGTATATAATAATATTTTTAGCATATAAATTTTGACTTAAAATCTTTTATTATTTTATGTTTTGATAAAAACAATTTTATGTAAGCAAAAAGATTTATCATCCGTGATCTTTCAACATCAATGAAAATGATTTTAGAAATGACTGCTGAGTTTTATTTTCGATGTGTATATTGTTGTATAATATGTTTGAATTAATACCGGCGATGTTGAGAAATTGAAAAAATATTGACAGCATGTTCTACTGGATACTGAGTAATTTCCATACATTTGGCCAACCGTGTCTACTCCTCGTATTGTGATTTCTAAAAGTGTATAACTTCTGATATTTTTGTTTCATAATTTATTAATGTAGTTAATAATAAAATAACTGACTTGTTTTTTTTTTTTTGGTGATGCAATCATTATTTATTTTTGAATTCCAAAAAGTGATGAGATTTATTTTTACTTGGTTAAAAATTTACCGAAATATTTTTATTGGTTTTATTTAACATTCTTACTACAGTAGACCAATTTATGTAATCTAGTATATCTTATATAATATTAAGATTTGCTACTATCGCGTTACTATATCAATTGATGATGTTTGTTTGTGGGGACACCTCTGTGAGGTGGCTCCATGGTTTTTTAGGGTGCCTCATTGAGGTTCTGCCACATTCCCTATCAATAACAGATAAGAGAAATTATATGCATAGAATGGTGTTATATGTTGTAATTTTGATAACAGATTATGGAAACACTCTTATCATATATTATAATATATAATTAATTTACCTCTTATATTATATTGACAAGTAGATTATGATATTTAAATATTGTGAATTAACAGTATAGGAAACATGATAACGGATACTAATTTATGGTTTAGCAAATTATATTATTTGAGTTATATTTCTTCCTCCTGCATGTAATAATCATTTTGAAAACTTGAAAATATGATATATTTAACGTTAAAAAGCCCGTTCCACACTTAATAATACTGATATAATAGAAATTAGTAAATTAGTATTTGTTTATAATGAAAATATTAAAAAAATATGATTGTGTTTTTATTGCGTCTTCTATATGTATACAATGAATTAAAATCCCAGTGGTGTATTATAAGAGATGAAATTTATAAAATAAATTCATACATCTGTTGAATTTATTGTTGAGATAGTGTAAAATGCGCACCTCCTTTGTCTATATACGCATACTTAAACATAAAATTGTACATGATTCTTAACGTTAAAATTTAAAATTTAATAATACTAATTAGTGAATTTGTGTTTATTAATAATGGGTACTTTAGATAATTATGATTTTGGTTTATTGAAGGTTCTATATATATATACAATGAAATAGAATTTCATTGCCCTATTACAGAACATGAAATTTATAAAAAATTACAACATGATATTCAATACCGCATATGGTTTTTTTATCGGAATATGACGCATGGAATATCGCATATGCATTTTACCACGATTCAAGAGAAAATACATTTTAGTGTTGCAATGAGGAATGTTACACAAATTCTCCACATAGGATAGTAGATCTGTTAATATTTATTTCGGGGTAAAAACTGTATCAAGAACTTGTCGTCTTTTAAAAATTATAAAAGATTGAAGTGTGTTGCATGTGAAATGAGATTAGCCCGATGGATGTTTATATCAGCAGACTCTATGCCTATTTGGGATCTCGAAACGACGATTTCATTTATACAAGAATGTGAAGAATTTTATGAAAATTATAATAACTACTTTATTTAGTTAGTATAATAGTTTTTTTATTATTAATTATTTATATCTAATTATAAATTATAGAAAAAAATATTTTTATTAAATAATTTGCATATACCACGTAAAATAATATATATTATATTTAACTCTCTTATTATATTAATAACTAGATTATAATATTTTAATACCAATATTTTAATTTACTTTATAATATTATTTAATGTAGTGTATTTGTAATGTAATGTATTTCTTCATTTAGTACTGACGCGTATCCAATATACAATTGAAAGTGCACAGAAACGTACCCGGCAAATAAATATCAATAATATATATAGATATAATTAGATCGCTCTAGTGGGTTTTAAATAACCCTTATTACACTGCACAAATTTGGGCTAAAAGTATCCGGATAAGGCGTTAAAAATAACGGTCACGGTAACAGATGTTGAAACAACGTTATAAAAACGAACCAAAAACAAAACAGAAAAGGGCACAAAGAAACAGAATCAGAGCGGAGTTACCAGTTAAGGTGTACGTCGGAAACGCAACAGAACGCAATATCGGTAATCCATATTCGGCAGCGGCCTTATCTCAGTGTCAAGAGCGGGGAGACAACCGATTGTCATATTAATAGCTGGACGGCTGATATCGAGAGACACGGTTGAGCGCCAACCTAGAGCAAAAGGCGGTGCCGTGTCAGTACTGTAGTGTTAATGTGAAAATTGAAAAGCAATATCACCGGTTTTTTCAAATTCAATTTTCATTTTATTCATTACTTGGTTGTAAATATCAATTTATCCTTTTCGTAAAGTAACTTCAAATGGAACACTTTTACCAGTATATTTTTTTAAAAATGAATGAAACATTATGTTTGAAAGTTTATTAAACAGTATGTTCGCGAGCACCATTGCTTCGAATAAATCCTTATTAAAATCTAATTTGGTAGATTGATTGGTTAAAATTTGTTGTGATTTCCTTTGAACTTGATCCTTTTGGCGTTTGGCACTTTTAACGTGTTTTTCAGTTCGAATATGTTGGCTTACGTTTAATTTTTTTTCAAAATTAATATTTATTTCACAATCTTTGCAAAATGATACAAAACCATCAGTAGATAATATTTCAGATTTAAATACAGACACATAGTTTCTAAAACACGCACTAGTGGATTGTTTCACTTTTTCCATTTTCAGTATATTATGTTTATGAAAAAATGTACGCCATAATAAGCACGCACGCGTATATACGGCAACGGATAAACGTTGCGCACAAAACAAATAATCGAAATTTCTAGCCTCTAGTTCAGAGGTGGCTTTTTTGTATATTGTGCCAAATAATAAATACAAAATTGAGAATGTGCCTTAAAAAATATTTATTTATTTCTATAAAATATGAATTTAAATTTTAGATTTTTTTCATATAAGTAAATACTATTTTTATGACAGTTTAATGTTGAATTAGTTTGATCTCTTCGTAATTTGGTTGAAGTTTAGTTAAAGATATGGGCATTAAATTTTTTTAATGAGAATTTGTTAGTTTGGTTCTGTACTTATTTTTGATAAAAGTCATCCCAGAAAAACTTTTCATATATATTTATGTAGAGCCGAATCTACAAACTAATTTCAATGCTAGACTATGTAGTTCTGGAAAATCTTTCTCTGATACGCATTTCCAAAATTCTATAATCTCAGGCAACTCTTTATATTTACATTTTAAAACTGCTGAACTTTGAAGTTCAATAATTTCCAATTGCATGTTGGGGTTATATTTTTGGAGATCGTCTGTCGATATGATAAATGGATTAATAAATAAGTTATTTAAATCTTCTTTTTCTTTAAATCTACTGAATCTTTTTTGAAAACTAACAAATAGTGTTGAAATACGATTTTTAAAAATCGTCAAAGGAATATCTGTCGGTAGATAAATAGATTTTAATCGTACAAAATGATCTAAATTTCCTATTCCCAAATTACTTTCGAAAAATTTAAGTCGAGACATGAAAGAATTTATAAAACCTACAAGTACTGGAAATAAATTTCCTTCGCCTTGAAGTCGTTTATTGAGAATATTTAAATGTCCGAGAACATCAGTTAAAAAACGAGGTCGTTTAACCATTAATATATTAATACTTAATGCACAAATAAACACTTTTGCAATTCACGGCCAATGTGCCATAATAAGATATCCCTATCGACAGTTGACCTTTTACCATCATCGCGTTCATTACTTTTGTCTGATAATTAACATAACTTTTCTACCACGTATATAGTGTGTGTGTGTGTCGCCGTCAGCTCCCTGTTGGATTATATCATCTCTAGGTGTCCAGCAAGTCGTATTATCTAATTAATATTTCAATTACTTAATAAATATTTAATTATATAGCTGTTTACCAAAAGTGTTATATATATATATATATATATATTGTAGTACGACCCTTGGTAGTTCCTCTAAGGAAATATAAATTAAATAGGAAACTTCAAAACCTAAGGTAGATATAGCATAGCCAGCTATCCCCCGTTAGTCCCTTAGAATACTGTCGACGGGCATTTAGGCTCAACCCCTAAATAGCGACGAAACAGGACAATTCACTATTAAGTATATTTATTCGAAGTGTAAATTCCAAGTTCAAAGTGACGGAAGAACTTTTAGGACTTGAAGTACTCGAAACATCGACAAAAAGTATAGATATATTTAATAAACTAAAATGTTGTGTCGAAACTTTGTTATTAAAAAATGATGATTTAATTTGGTCAAAACTTGTAAGTGTATGCACAGACGGCTTTCCATGTATGATTAGTAAAACTATCGGTTGTGTAACCTAATAGGAGGAATTTTTTAATAGAAAGTTAAATAAATATCACTGTATTATACACTTAGAATCCTTATGCGCCAAAGTTTTAAAATTTGATCATGTATTAAAACCAGTATCTCGATTTATTAACAAAATAAAAGCTCGGCCTTTAAATCATCGATTTTTCAGAACTGTAATTGAAAATGTCATTAACGAATCCGGTGAACTTGTATTGTATTTTGAAGTAAGATGGCTTGCAAAAGGAAAAACGCTAGAAAGATTTTGTAATATAAAAGACGAAGTTATAGAATTTTTAGAAAAAAATAATGAATTGCCTGATGAATGTAAACTACTCAGAGATAAAAATTGGTTAAACGACCTCGTTTTTTAACTGATGTTCTCGGACATTTAAATATTCTCAATAAACGACTTCAAGGCGAAGGAAATTTATTTCCAGTACTTGTAGGTTTTATAAATTCTTTTTGGTCGGGGTTAGAATAGACCATCGGTTGTTCCTGCGTGTCGTAAAAGACAACTAAAAAGGACTTTTAGTAGGGCAGCAGCTACTACAATATTGGGTGTAGGTTCATTAGCTACACGCCAGGCAGCAGTCAACAGATACGGGAAACTTAATGCGTAATCCAAATAGGGCGCACAGGTTGATACACCGAACACAAGAAAAATAAACGGAAATCGAGTAATATAAGTTCGCAAATTAACAGTGAGGAACTGTGGTGTTGTGGACTACTCGGCGTAGAAGCGAATATCGTAAACTACTTATATCTATATTAGTATATCTCTAGATATATATATGTATATATATCTATACCACGTTAGGTACGCAGGAAAACAAAAACGTTCCTTTGAGTCGCGGAAAGACGACACACAAGAAAAACTTAGTCGGTAAATCGCACCAAACGCAGCGTAAAATGCCAAGAGCACAAAAATTTCGGACAAAACCACTCAAGGTTTACGTCGGAAACGCAACAGAACGCAATATCGGTAATCCATATTCGGCGGCGGCCTTATCTCAGTGTCAAGGGCGGGGAGACAACCGATTGTCATATTAATAGCTGGACGGCTGATATCGAGAGAGACACGGGTGAGCGCCAGCCTAGAGCAAAAGGCGGTGCCGTGTCAAACTGTATAACTGATGGCTGCACTGCGATACGGAAGGCAACGGGAAACCACCGTATTAATATCCCAAGCAACAGCAATCAACATGTCTTCTTCTCAAGTTAAAAATTCTTTATTACAAGATATGCTTAACGTAGTATTCATGAACGTTTTTAAAACGGCAAAACGATCGAGTTATAAATGAACCCAAACCTCCAGCTACTAATTTTGTTGGAAATAGTACACAATTTAAACACAGTGCACCTCTCAGATGCTTAGAATAAACTAGCCAGGGCGAATAAGTTTGCAACCAACTATTATTAAATATACGCTTGAGATTAGCGGCCTCGGCATCTTTGGCAAAGTTGTAGCTCTCAGGAAGTACCCAACAACGTTTAAGTATATCCAATTTTTGATTGGTTGTCATTAGAGAAGTTCGCCCTACCCATTTGCCGAGATCGTTATCACAAACATCTTTTTCTTCTGGTATATTTTCGACTTTCGAAGAACCAGCTTTAGCCAATGAATTCTGTGATAAACTTCTTTCAATCTTTTTTTCTTCGTCACTTTCACTACTACTTTCTTCTTTTTTCCTTTTCAGAGTCCCTGAAACAAAAATACGTAGACTGTTAAATATCTTAATTTATCTGGTATAAATTGGATACATCAAATTATGAGAACTGAAATTTACTTATTAATTATAATAATACTAACTTAATGTTTGTGCCTAGAAAAGTCTATGTTTAATTTTTGGTCACCCGTCGTTTCTCTTATCACTAGTCAAGCTAATCTGTCGGGGTAGCGGTTATGCGCTTTAAAAATCAATTCTCTCTTGTTTTTGGATCGCCTAACTGTCTAGATGTGGTTTCGCTCCGTTCTATCAAGTTGTTTTTTTTTGTTATTTGGTCAAGTTCATTTTATCTCTCCAACATTGTTTTGTCATCTTTTTGATTGTTTTGAAACGGTAACACACTATAATATTGTAATCAGGCCCGCATTTAGGGGGGGGCATTGGGGGCATTTGCCCCGGGCGGCAAATTTTGAAGGGCGGCAAAAATCTTAATAGGTATACAATTTTTAAAAATTAATTATTTTTATTTAATTTAAAATTTTTTCAAACAGAACAATTTATTTTTATGAAACAAAAATATCTATTTCTAAAAAAAAATATTACTTTATTATTTTCTAATTTAAAACGTGTACAAAGATATAAATGTAAAAGAAGATATATCAAAGCTGTATAACAACATATACTACAGTTAGTAGTTAGATAATAGTATTGATTATACATAGTAATTTTTATAATCAACAGCACTATAAATAAAGTAGGCGGCAATTTATTTGATTCATGTTTTTATCTAATTTTAACAAAGTATTGATATTTTCTCCCTTAAACTGGTTTTATGGATGTCGTCGGCCGTTGATAGTCGATTATTATTGGAATACTAAGAAAGTTAAAACACAATAATTTGTCTCATTTTTCACAAAATTACTATCTAATAATGTCACACTAATAATGTGTTGTGTACAGACAGCTCATTGTGTTTAGTACTCGACTACAAGTGACCGAGTTAATATGTTGAGGTGTTTTTTTTTATTTGTATATTTTATTATTTATTAACGTATTAAAATGAGAGATGGCAGAAAACGTTTAAGTGGAAGTGCTTATAAAAAAGTTGCTAAATTAAAATTAGAAAAAGAACAAAAAGTCATTTCTCAAACCGCAAAATTAACTTCATTTTTTAGCAATCAATCTCCAATTCGCCAAGTGAAATAGAGACTACAGCTGAACAGATTTTAAATGAGTCTAGTGATAAAAAGTAATTTAAAAATCAAATGTTAACTTTTGTACGTTATTTCAGTTTTATATAAATGAAAAATTTTATAATTTTTTAGTGAACATCCTCTACATAGTACTTTTGAAACCATGGCAAATGAAAATCAATTAATTGAATATTCGGAATTATTAAATACGCCAACTAAAAAACCCAATCCAACACTTTTGGGGGCGCGGAAAAATTAAGTGCACCGGGCGGCAAAATTCCTAAATGCGGCCCTGATTGTAATTGTAGGAAATTTGCTTACAACAAATTTCCTAACTTAAATTCTTAAATCAAGTTTAGAAACCCCGTGATTGATTTAAAAATTCTTACTAATTACTAGTCTATGGGTAATAAAATTTAATTATTACACATTTTGTTGTTGTCATATCATTCACTAGAGTTCTAACACTCCTTGTGGTGGGTGGTAAAACTTTATCCAGTTTAATCTCAGTTGTTCTACTCATTTACACTATGTCATGCATAATTACCAATAATTATTTAAATTCATTGTCGACCAGTCGCTAATATTCAATTTTTTCATTAAAATTGAAATTCATTAAAATTTTAATTGTAAATAGTACTGTTTTAAGCATGTTTAGNAGCGATTAAACCAGCGCTCACAAGTATTCTGGGATAAACAATGCTCTCCGTAAACTCCTTGAAGTATACGGTAACTTTCAGCAGCACTTTTTTTTAAGAGAAAGTAATGTAACAAAACCTCCCGCAAATGCTCTTTTTTTGGAACAAATTCCGACATTTTAACACGTAAAAAAAAATGATATAAGCGCTTTCAAAAAGTACGACTTTCACTACTTTAAAGGGTTATGTCGATAAAAAAAATTGCTCACATATCAAGCCACGTGCTCTATTATATGAGTGTAACGCCATCTGTTGAAAAATATCCCCATTATTAAGTTATACACCTGGTATTAGTCTAATTACTATAATGGATTTATAATTGTATTACTAGTTTTAAACAATGATTTGGTAATTATTTAAAGTTATACATGCTTGTTATCTATTAGATAAAATCCACTTTTTACTTGTATTCATAGAAATAAATTAATCATATCTTTAGTTAATTATCTATCTAGCTGTTGTCATTTAAATTTACCTTATATACAATCCACTAGAAAATATACTAAACAATTTGGTCACTTAACCAGTACCAAATCTTAATTTTGATTGTAATATTGATTACAATTGTTCATAATTGAAATTAAAATTTGGCATCAATAAAAAATTAAATAATCAATTAGTCTATCGATTAATGTAGTGCGCCTACAATTAATATATTCATAAAATCAGAAGAATTGCGGTTTGTTTGATTACTTACCTTTAAAAAACTTTCTTATATCCATTGAAAAAACATACGCGCAAAGACA